TCAATTTTTGATTTTAATTAAAAACTAAATGGGTGAGGGTTGACCAAACCCAATAGACCCATTAACTTGTTAACCCATTAACTTGTTAACCCATTAACCTATTAACCCATTAACATATTAACCCACTAAAAATAAACAATTCATTTGGGTTAATGAGTCAATTTGGATTGGGTCAACCCATGAGTCATGACCCATTTTGACACCCCTATGCGTGAATAATCATCTAGTATATATGTTATTCCTTAAGGCATAAAACTAATTGCATTTAGGTTCAAGACGTGTTGTGCATAGAAATTACTTCTTTTGAACTTTTTCTAAGAAATTACCTTTTGATTAAGGGGAAACTGTTTTTTTAGACCAAACAGGTTTGGACATTGTCCCTATAGTCTAAATTATATTTTGTACCAATTTTAACTTTAATGTCCTTTATTTATTTCTGATATTATTAAAAAAATAGATTTATGAAGCAAAAAAAAAATTAAAAATAGTACATAATGATGAAACCCCAATATCTATATAGTAATATTTTTTTCCTATTTTAAAAATGTGTAAATAATAATTTCATATATTATTCTACCGAAATTAGAATCCGTATACTACGAATTTGAATACGGAATCCACTTTTTCACTATTTCTACGAACTGCGGAATATGTTTTCTACGCAGATAACACGAATCTAAAATAGTTTGGAATACATATTCCACTCTTATCATGGAGTTCAATAAAAGTAGAAATTGAAATCTAAATTCTTACTTAAATCTAAAACTAGTAGAAATCGGAATCTACATTGTTACAACGTTCTAATACATTTAGAAACTGATTTCATATCTCTTTAACACAGTTCTACCTTTAGTAGAATATTAATTCTACGGATAAATATTATTAGGTCCGAAAATATAGGAAGAATATATTAGGAAATATTCGGTTTCCATATTTAAAATTCAATTTTTTTTTAAAAAAAAAAGGAAAATTCAAAGGCAAAAACGTTTTCTAAAAAGGAAAATTTTTGGAAAATATTCTCACGGTTATTTCACGTTCTTCTCACGCCTCATCTCCATTCTCCCCAATATTTTCACAGTCTTTACCTTGTTTCTACCATGATTCATGTCTATGCTTCATGTGGTGTTTGGGAATCGGTTCTAGCTTCAGGTTGGAGGTTTTCTGTTGATGAAAAGAAAGGGGGGGAAGGTTACTTGCTTTGCAATTGAAGTCCTCTCTGGAAGAGTTACAAAAAGTTGTTATAGAGGATTTTGGTTTCGAAGATAAGGATGCTGATTTGAAGTTAAGTTACATACCTATTGGGTTGATGGACACATCAGAATGTCCACCGGTGGTCATCGGAAACTCATGCCAAGTGCACAACTTTCTAGGGTTTTGTAAAAAGCATCAGTCAACTTGGTTATGTGTCTCCTATAAACTGAAGGAAGATAATCCAAATAAGATCGACATTGATCATAATGAGATGCCCATTGATTCACGTACTGTGGAAGAGGAAGACCGAAATCCTTGTGCCAATGGGGGCGCTTCAGATGTCAATGTTAAAGGAGCTAAGCATAACAACAAGAGAAAAGAAAAGATGGAGCATTGCATGACTGATGGAGATGAGGATGGTGTTGATGAGTATAATGAGAAGAAAAAAGGAAAGATGATAGAATACAATGTCGATGGAGATGTTGATGTTACTGACACAATCTTCTCTGAAGAAGAAAATAGAGAAAATTTATCAAAGAGTTATGTGGTGGAGTTGGTTAAGCAAGGAGATATTTTCCTCAACCGAGCAGTATTGAAGGTGAGGTTTGAGCTGTGTGCAATGAAGCATAACTTTGACTACAGAGTTATCAAATCCAATAAATCAGTTTGGTGTATTAGATGCATTGATAATGTTTGCAATTGGGGTGTTTGAACTGCATGTATGAATGGGTCTACATATTTTATTATTAAGAAGTATGTTGGTACACATTCTTGCGCACCTTCTAGCAAAAGTAGAGCCGGTAAGACAGCTTCAGCGAAAACAATAGGTGGTCTGATCATGCATAAATATGAAGGTGTCAAAGAAGGGCCTATAGCGAAAGATATTGTTCAGACTATGCGTGATGATTATGGATGTGAGATCTCTGAATCCTTGGCATGGGATTCTCGTGAATTTGCAGTCAGCGCCATCAGAGGTATTCCAGGGCTAAGCTATGGTAAAATACCAAAGTATTTGCTCATGCTGCGAGAGCCCAATCCGGGAACACATTCCGCTTATGAGACTGACATCAATAGTCGCTTTCTCTATCTTTTTTTAGCATTTGGTCAGTCGATTAGAGGGTTTAACAAAGTCATGAGGCGTGTTATTGTTGTTGATGGAGCATTCTTGAAGAATAAATTCAAAGGAGTTCTATTGGTTGCCACTGCTTTAGATGGAAATTCAAATTTGTACCCTATAGCTTTTGGGGTAGTAGACTCTGAGAATGATCATGCTTGGGAATGGTTTATGAGACGATTGAAAGAAGTTATTGCTGATGATATGGGGCTGGCTTTTATTTCGGACAGACAAATGTCTATAGGTAAGGCACTTGAGAACGTGTATCCGCTAGCAAAACATGGGGTTTGTATTCATCACTTGTTGAACAATGTGATTTCAAATCACAGGGGAGAGGGGTTAGCTGGGTTGATTTCTAAGGCTTCAAAGGCTTATAGAGTGGCTGATTTCAAGAAGACGTTTGCTCATATTTGCAATATCAGTCCACTAATAGGAACTTATCTAACGCAAGCTGATGTTCGAAAGTGGGTTAGATGTCAATTTGTTGGATACCGGTATGACATTATGACAACCAATCCTGCTGAATCTATTAATTCTGCCTTGCGCACGCCAAGAGAGTTTCTGGTAATTCCTTTGTTGGACAGCATTAGAGAAATGCTAACACGGTGGTTTTTAAAGCGTAAGAGGAAGATTTCAAAGCATACGCATCTTTTGACCATAGATGTGGAGGAAAAGATTGATAGGAGAATCTAGAAAGGTAAAACTTTTGTAGTTTACCCTGTAAACGACTATCAGTTTCTTGTTGAGGGTGATACAATTGACTGCTTTGTTGATTTGGATAAACGGATGTGCTCATGTGGGAAGTACAACCTCTTGAAAATTCCTTGTAGACACGCGATAGAAGCCGATTTCTCTGTTGGCAAACAACCACACACGTTGACTGAGTTGATGTACACCACAAGAGCTCGGAGAGAAGCTTATCAAGAAAGCATAAATCCCATTTATGTTCCTGAAGATGCTTGGTCTGTCCCTGAAGATGTGGAAAATTCTGAAGTGTTACCGCCTGATACAAGAAGGTCTCTTGGAAGAAACAGAAAAAAAAGATACGAAACCATTGAAGACAAAATTCGATCATCACAAGGATCACAGGGACCTAAGCTTCGCAGGTGCAGCAGGTGTGGTTTTGGTGGCCACAACAGATCAACTTGCAAGATGCCAATATAGTCGCTTTGTTTGCTGTTTTTTTCACCACTTTGTTTCAGATTTTTAGACTGTATGTGGTTAGTTTTGAACAAGGTTGCTTTATGTTTCAGTTTCGAACAAGTTTTCTTCAAGTTTGCTTCATGTTTCAGTTTCGAACAAGTTTGCTTCATGTTTCAGTTTCGAACAAGTTTGCTTCATGTTTCAGTTTTGAACAAGTTTGCTTCATGTTTCTAGTAATATGCATTCAGTTTCAAACAAGATTGTTTCATGTTTTAAATTTTGTTATATTCTCTTGTTGATCATATGATATGTCGCCTTGAATTTGGCTGTAAAAAAACTCTGAAACATAAACATTGGAGGTATGAATAAATCCCAGGAACCAGAATGGAGAAACTGATTTGAGATGGATCTGTTTTGGGTTTTTGAAGGTTATGTAGGGTTCGGTTCTATTATCTAGGATCGGGATCGATCGATCTAAAATAGAGATCGATCGATCTATGATAGATCGATTGGTGAAGATCGACTGAACTGGACAAGGTCGATCAGTTTCTGCTCCGTGCTTTCTTATGTTTATGTTTAATCATCGAGATCAACCGTTGGGATCGACCGACTCTTTCTGGGATCGATCGATCCCGTGCTTTTTATGTTTTTGTTTAATTAAGACATGAAATACAATTGATCAGGAAATATCAGGAAACAAACCATATGTTATACAATAGCTTTTACATCCTCTGAAATATAGCATTAACATCCTACAAATATAGCTTAAACCTCAAATACAATTGATCAGGAAATATCAATACATTTGTTATGCTTATAAGCGGGACGCTCATACTTCGACTTCCTCTCCAGCAACTCTGGATCATTACTGGCTTCCCATAGATCCCAAAGCATTTTAATCCGAGCAGTCTTGATGTTATCATCACTCATCAACGACAAATCTAACCCAATCGCATGGCATTCGATGTGTTTTACAGCATACACACCACAATGACAAGCACGTTGGTTGAGATTATGCATAGGGGTATAGCTTACAGTGTATGCCGTGATTGTGAGATTCTTCTGGTTTGTCACCGACTGAACAGGCTTGACGATCCTAGGAATAAGTACCGTGAATGCTTCAACCTCTCTGTACCTCTGTAAACCCGAGCAATCAAACACATTGATATGCTTAGTCACGAAACTGATGCATAACGCGATCCAGTGATTCTGATTGGCCCAAACTGGAACATACAATCGATCTACATCAACACCCCACACCATTCTTGTTTTTCCGTGAGAAGGCAGTTCGCCTTTGCCGTATTCCGGTAGCAACATATCCATAGTGTACTTCTTCGCACCACCTTTCTTAAAATTGATGTACTCGCTTCTAATGAGGTCACTGAACACGCATGACATGAAAGCAACACGATATGTTTTCCATTGTCCGAGTGTTGTTCTTTCCCGGGATACATACATCATAACATCAATCTCCTACAATTACAAGGCTGATGTTTGTAGACAGCCTAAATAACACATATACTTTATTAGAAGTTAGGAGTTGGATGCTTACAATGTTGTGAATCCACTCAAATTGACTTATAATTCGAGTACATATTGCCTCGTTTAAAAAACAAGGACCAACCTGTAAACCTCTGTTTAAAAAAAAACAATTAGTTACAACATTATACAATAACATATATTAGATTATAGTAGGATTAACTTACGTTCTTAAGTCTTGCCACTCTTGAAGTCTTTCATAATTTTCTGGATCCACATATACGAATTGCGCATCAGGATCGTTCTCACCGGGTCGTGCAGTTTGATAGTCATTTAATTCCCGAACATCTATTTTCTCTGATGTTCCTAGAGAGGACAAAGCCAAAGGATCATCGGTTTTAGGCTGAGAAGGATCAAAACCCTCTACAAATGTATCCTGTGAAAGGTCTGGGAAGCATCTTTGCAAGTAATCTTGTTTACTCATATGAACATCAATTCCCGGTGATAGAGTCAAGTTTACTCCAGGTAAATCAATAAGCGGATCATCGGTGATTAATTCTTTCTTTTTCGCAGCCTGATGTCACACATAAAAAGTAATAAGGTTTTAATTTAAACATATTACACAACATTAACTTCAAAATTAAGTTCCAAGTAATAGCCAAGTTCTAACCACATATTACATATCAATAATACCACACATACATCCGACAAGTTCCTAATACAAACATACCACACTAGACAAACAAAATGTCATACCGCATAGTTCCAAGTTCCAGCATCCTAGGTCCAAAAACTACTTCCAATCAACTAGTTCCAATCCTTAACCCTTTCTCTTATTCGTTACCTTTCTTTTTTGTGGACCTGTGACTTTTGTACTCTTCGCAGAAGTTGTTTCTTTTTGACTCTTGGTAGGAGCTGTCTTTTTTGGAGATGGCAGGAGCTGTGACTTTTTTGGTCTTGGCAGGAGCGCTCTCTTTCTTGGAGAAGGCAGGAACTGTGTCTTTTTGGGAGAAGGCAGGAGATGTGTCTACTCCAGTCTTGCTAGGACCGGTATGTTGATCAGTCTATCCCGCCATTTCGGTGAGGACTAACGCGGTCCTGAGATGTGAAACCTCACTCTCCAACTTCCCGAGCGTGGTTGTTACCGCTGTCTCAATCTTGTCGATTCTATCAGAGAACTAGTGAACGATTTTCCCCTCAAAAGCAGTAAATGAAGCTTTTAACAAACCCTCGAAGAATTGCTTCATGTCTTTGTCAGTGATCCCGCTCCTCTTGTTTGAAGCAGCTAGCTGGCACAACAACTTCTTCTTCCTTGCATCTGCTCCTTGGTCAGCATTCTTTCTCTTCTTTGTACCTGAATCCACATCCGGTGTAACATGACTACTCTCGTCAATCTCGGTATCAGCATCGGCATCTCCTTCCTCTTCTTTCTCTTCCTCAGATTCCACCATTTCAGACCCTGGACCTCCTTCCGATACTCTCCAAACATGATTGCTCCAATCGTAGTTTCCTTTGATTATATCCACTAAGCGCTCAACTCTTTCATCTTTCTTCTCATCCTTCCTTGCAAAATCTGAATCCAAAAGGACCACTCCATCTCCGCCTACTCCGAGGAATGAGTGCAAAATCCCCTACAAGAGATTGAAATCATTAGTAAAATGATTTAGACAATAAAACATTTTTACTACACAATTTTGAAGAGATTAAAATCATTACTAATAAACAAGAGAATCAAACATTTTTATTACAGAAATCTATCCATACCTTCTCTGGAAATAATGTCTCAGTCCCAATGATGTCTTCATATGAACATTTTGCACATCCTGTCCAATTACCACACAGAGGACCCATGAAATCGTCTGTGACCTTCGTCCCACACATCTCTCCCAAAGCAGGAATAGCTTCCATAACCCAAACCTGGAAAACATACAAGAACCCTTCCATCAGGTACCCCTCCTTCTGCTCCAATTTACACCTTGCCTTTACCATCGATTTCAGTAGGAAATCATAAGAGTGCAAACCCCAAGGGTACTTCCGAAGCTTCTCAAAATCCATCACCAACTTTATGTACTCAAGCGAGATATTCACCTTCTCATCCCTCCCAAAGACCACACCCATAATGACACATAGATAGACCAGCCTCACCCTATCAACAAAAGTCCAGGTGCTACAGTCATCCAAATACTCCTTTTTAATATTCTGCACGCAGATTTTCCCACACGTCCTTATCTGGTTGCTCCAAAAACCACCATCATCATTCCATCTCAATAACCCACTGGTCTTATCTTGTTTCACTTTCAGACCAGTGACAGCATGATACTCTTGCAATCCAAAACGCAGAGGTCTCCCCGCAAATGTAAACCATTTCTCATGCTTCAAGCTTGTCATCAACTCCTTACAGAGGAACGCGTGTACCACCCTCGCAGAAAACTTCCGCTGATTAGTCTCAATAGCTATAATATGCGAGAAAAGGGGATCGTTCTTGACTTCATTGAATTCTGGCTCCAATTTTGACCGTAGAAGCTTGAGAAGTTTCATTCGGCAGCTGTTATTAATCTTCTTTGTCTGAGATTACAAACCTTCTGCATATAGACGCCTAGGCAACTCTAACTCCATAGCTGTAAAATGAAGAAAATATATATCAATAATCAATTTGAAGACAAAACTTCAAATTCATAAATCTATCCTAAAACTTTGATTTAAGGCATGGGGTAGGTACAAAATTGTCCCTAAACATCAACAATACACACGTTTGAATTTTCCACACCATAACAAACTCAAAAAATAAAACTTTATCACCATTTTTTCGGACTCTTAAAGTGAAGATTCAGTTTTATACCTTTACAGATCGAACGAAAGAGTGATAGATTCGGACAAATCTCGCGAAATCGTTTGGTTTAGGCTCAAGAATCGTCTAAATCAGAGTAAAATTGAGTGAGTTAGGGTTTAGTGAAATTGAGAGAAAAATCACCCCTTTTTCGAGTTGGAAGAGAAGAGAATGAGGGGTTTGATCTCTAAAACACGAAATATTTTTGTTAAATCGTGTTTGGCCGGTTCAAATCAAGTGTGATTTAAACCTAATATAACAGAGAAAAACCAGAAATCGATTTCGGAGACTTGCCTGGGCACATGATCGATCGATCTCAACTAGGGGGATCAGTCGATCCAGACCGATGAGATCGATCAATCCAGACCGATCGATCTATACGATCAATTAGACTCTGAGAAAGTCGATCGGTTTATGTTCCGTATTTTTTCAATAAACTGCTCAATCACGAGATCGAGCGTATGGATCGATCTTCTGATTCTGGGATCGATCGCTCCCGTCATATAGAGCAGTTTCTTTCGTCATTTTTTCCCGATTTGAAGATTTTTATTTTTATTTTTTTACGATTTTTAAGTTAATTTAAAGGCATTATTGCCATTTAGAAAATATTTAGCCTAATGGAACAAGTGAATGAATTTAACATAAATGAACAATGTCCAAACCTATTTGGTTTAAAAGAAATATTTTCTCTTTGATTAAAGCAATCCGATATTAAGGCATAGGCTGATATATGGAAAATGTAGACACTTGTAAAGTTTAATGATTTGTGAATTTTCTTTTGCACATCAAGACAATTTCCTTTGCAACAATAGTTAAAACTGCAATAACAAGATTCTGTTAAATACTTCTTTGTAAGAAATAAAATATCCAAGTGATATGTTTTGGAATTAGTATAACATATCTGATTTCTATTTTTATACATTTGCTTCTTGTAAGCAAAATAGGATTCTATTAAATTAAATGAACTGCAATAACAAGATTCTGTTAAATATCTTCTTTGTAAGAAATAAAATATCCAAGTGATATGTTTTGGAATTAGTATAAGATATTCTGATTTCTGTTTTTATACATTTGATTCTTGTAAGCAAAATAGGATTCTATTAAATTAAATGAACTTCTAACATAAAATTCATTTGGTCATAAAATAAAACAACTTATCTATTTTCTATATTATTTATGAGTTCTGTCAAACTTTGATGTGTGAAATTTTTAATAATGTCTTCAGATGATAAGTTTTTGAACTTAAAATATTCAAGTAAGGATCGAAAGATTAATTTTGCACAATATCAATTATGGATCAAATTGAACTACGTGTACAGACTAATTGGTTATACATAGAATTGGTTATACATAGAATTACCTATTTACATATGATTTTTTTTGTAATTTTTAGCGTAGGAGATTTTGTTTTTAATATATTTGCATTGTGGGCGATCAGCTATTATGATAACTAAACAATTAGTCAATTATGAAGCTGTATACTCGACCTTATAAATAAACAAAATAACGGATAATTGATCTTGCTACAGTATATTGCATAACCAGGGAAATGAAATAAAATCTCTATACCTTGTATATAGTTTTTTGTAAATTATTGATAATTCATGCGGTCAATAATTTAAGTAACTTTTATAAATAGATACATACTCTTTCTGTTACACTTAAGAACATCTATAATTCACTTCTATATTACCTTTATATGTTATAGCATAATAAAATTCACTTCAATCCACCTCTATTTCTTCTATTAAAATAGAGATTACTATATTTTCTCTATATTTAGGGAGAAAAATAACATTTCTCTATAATAAAGAAATTTTTTATTTATTTATACAATATTCCTTTAATTTTTTATGATTATAACTAAAATACTTTTTTTATGAAAATACAATATATTTACGTATAAACACACAACTTCTTCTTACAAAATAATTCTTATTTTTTACAGTTTCAAAACAAAATAAATAAATAATATTATTTTATTTAAAATTTTAACTTTTAAATGAAAAATAATATTATTATTTTTATTTAAAAGTCTATCTTTCCAAATAAAAATAATATTTAAATTTTTCGTTCAGAACTAAAGTTATAAATTATAATTTAATTATTAAAAGATATTCATAAATTTTACATACTGATAAACCTATTTAATTTGAACTTCAATATTCATTAATACAACTAGATTTGGACCCGCGCAATCGCGCGGGTTTTGTTTTCATATATATATATATATATATATATATATATATATATATATATATATTTGTTTTATATCATTAATAACGTTAGTCATATGTTTAAATGTTTATATAACTATTACAAACACAATAGTTTTATAGCTTGTACGTTAATATCAATTGTTTCTTATTATATATTTATCTAATTGACTTTATATTTAATTATCAATATTAATATATGCATGAAAATCATATTTGAAAATTATTTTATATATAATTTATACTAAATTATTATTTCAGTTTCAAAGTTAGATTATCGTTTATTAAACTTTTTATGTTTATAAAGATAATATGATATTATAAAAGCTTAAGATATGTTAATTTTATACATGTATTTATAGTTACTAATGTTAATCCGTTCTGCCAATATATTATATATTTTTAACATTTTTATTTTCTATTTATGAAAATAAAATTGATTAATTTATCAATTTAATATAATTTTATAACATTCACTTTATTATAATAATTTCATTTCATTTGATAGTTTATGATTATTAAATAGATAAAAAGAATAAAATATTTTTTCATATATATATATATATATATATATATATTAATGTATAATTATTTTCATTAATAATTCGAAATTTTATTCAAGTTATTAATTAGTGAAATATTTATATAATGTTTTTAAAGTTAAGATCTTGCTAAAATCTTTTCAACAGATTTTTTTTAAAAGAATTAATACATATTTATATTAAAATAAAAAGATATCAAAGATATTATGATTGAAGTGGTTACAAAGAAATTAAATATATTTAATAATTTTTTTTTGCTAATGGTCCAAATAAAAAAAATCACACATGAAATGAGTCATGACTTCTCTTTTAATATAATAGATATATCAAAACAAATTAATACTCTAGTAAATTATTTTCGAATTCATAAAGATCGCTAAAATATTGTCCAAACGAAGTGGATGGAAGAAGAGCTTGTTGATTTTTGTTACTGGTGGCTGTGCTTTTGTTAAAGAGATAATTGGCTAAAATGCCCTATTTCGCACCTATAATTATAGAATTACCCATGATGTGACAATCACTTTTCTTTGGACCATATTGCCATTTTCTACACTCTCTCTCCTCTCTTTGACATCTCCTCTCTCTTTTTTTCTCTTCAATCCCTAATTATTTTACAAATCTCTATCATTCTATATACAATTAAATTTTAAATTTCATTATTTTTTCATAAGTGGCTTTGAATCCTCAATTTTGACCCTTTTTTCTCTCCAATCCTGAATTATTTTACAAATCTCTATCATTTTATATACAATTAAATTTTAAATTTTATTATTTTTTCATAAGTGGCTTTGAATCCTCAATTTTTTGATGATATCAATTTTCTGGGTTTTAGATTTGACGTCGTGTTAGCGGTTAAAAAATATTGT